GGCGGGGCCACGCGGCGGGGAAGGCGGGGCCACGCGGCGGGGAGGAGCGCAGCGCAGCTTTGCCACCGGGAGGCTGGACGGTCATGCAGCTCTGGCTGACGCCGAATGATGGGGGCGAGGCCTCTGGTGACCGGGCGAAGCGCCCTCTTGCCGCCAAGCTCTGCACCTGTAACGGGAGGTGCAGCTTCTACAGCTGGTAGGCTGGCTGGAAGGGATGAGTCTAATCACCGGACCGTCTTGCCGCTGCACTTGAACAGCTGGTGACAGGTCTGACGTGCTTCCAGAAGACGTGACTAGAGATACAGGCCACGCGGAATATAACCAGTCTGTTTCAACAAAACTCTCTTTCCTCAGTCCCATGGTTGTTCGCAGGGTCTCCCTGTCTGCTTAAAACAGGGTGAGAAAAGGATTTCAAAAGCAGCGAGTCTGTCCATCAGTGGCTTTATGGGCATCACTGGGTAAATATGCTTCACGTGGCTTCCAACACAACACTCTTGTCCAAGAATGTATCCACACAGCGATTGGTATTCCTGATGCCTGGGCGTCACAGGCTGGATTGTGGAGAGTTTAGCTGAGCTGCTCTTGGTATTGCTGTCAGTCGTCCATTCTGTGTGGCAGAGTCGCCTTAAAATGATGCTGGCCGACTCTGAGCCCAGGCCGTTTGTTTGTTTATTCTTGCAATAACTGGGGTACAGGCAGAGGCGAGGGGGTTCAGAAGATTCATCAGAGACAGAGTGGGGAACAGAACAGGTGGTTGAAGAAAGTACACTGCTGAGGGGAGCAGCGGCAGGTCAGGAGAGGTCTGCCAGGCCATGTAGATCAGCTCCCTGGCCAAGGATCGAATTCATGCTGCAGTGGCTAATAGCTTCCTAGTGCAGAGACTTAGCCCCTTGTGCCACCAGGGAGGCCCTGCTCCTCCTTTTATGAGCTGGGAGAGTAAAGGTTAGGGGTGTCATATAGATGTTCATATTTCAGTAAGTCCTCCCTGTCTGATAAGCTCATCTTTTTACTCTCAGAGTGAAAGGGTAAGGACAGCCTCCCTTGTTCAGTGAATATGTTACAGGGCACCCCAATGTGAATTGGGTTGCCTGTCTGTGGGTCTTCACCCGTGCGCTTACGATTCAATCGTATTATGGACACACTGAAAAGGTTAAATAATGGATTTATTTATAAGGAGAAAGGTAAAGGAATAACCCAGGGAAAGAGGGAGAGAAACGCAGGTTAACTAGGATGTCCTACCAGTTCTGCTGACTTGGACTCCACCGGCTCGCTGAAAACCGATTGAGCGCCAAAACGATCAGCTGCGAACCACCAGGCCAAGAGCCCCCCAGAGCCCACATGTCCGGTTTTATCCCATCCTGGCTGCTCAGCTCCGCCCTCACGTCCCTGCGTGCTTCTTCTTGGTACTGATGGGATTTGGAGTTCCAACATTTGGAGTGGGGGCGGAGTCCATGAAACCTGTACCTGTTACAATTCCCCCCTTTTGATTTTCATACCACCATATCTATGGTGGCACAGATTTTAGAGTACAGTCAGTCACCAACATTGTCCATGAATGTCCAATATGGCAGCCATAAGTGGAAAATAGTCCATTAGTGCATGTGAAGGGGAAAAAAAAAAAACAACTTCTTGGTGGGTATCAAAATCATAGCAACAGAACAAAACAAAACTTTAAAAGCTGTTTAAAAGTTTCTCTCAACCTTGATTCCAACTTTGTTCAACTTGTTTGCACAAGTGATTTACAAATACATGTTAGCTTTTAACCATTTTTGTATTTTTGCATAAAATCACAGGGCAGAGGGGTGAGGAGGGTCAGAGGTCAAAGTGTCAACCTTTTCCAAAAGCGTTTGGGAGAACAATGAGAGGAGAACAACGTTCATCTCAGATGCAGCAGGTGTGGGTCCCCAGATGCACGGCCAATTGTTGCAGGCTGCTGGCAGCCTAGTGTCTGTCTGGGGCTCTGGTCTGTACAAAGAGAACAAGAGACACACCTATAATTTAAAAGTTTGCATGACCACATTAAAAAGGTCAAAAAGACGTGACATTTGAATAATACTTTTTATTTTACCCTGTAGTCAAAATGTGGCTTTGGCCAAGTCACAAACCACATGCTGCTTTTCCTGCTGTAGTCAAAGGGCAGTGTGGGATTTGCCTTCATACCCCATCCCAGTGCTGACTTACAAACTCAGGGGTCCAACTGCACCTGTGTCTCTCAGCTGCTCCGCTGGACAAAGATGACTTTATGGCCCTTCTCCCTCACTTGGGAGTCAGAAGAGGAACAGCCTCTCTCAAGACTGGCCTCAGTGCCACAGCTGCACCTGAAGAGTTTGAATTCTTCACACTTAGATTTACAGACTAGGGGCGACGCTGGGGTAAAAACTGGAGCCAGAGGTTCATAGATAGAAGAGGTGGGTTGTCACTCAGTGTGATGTGGGGTCACCTAGGACTGCATAGGGCTCCATGTAGGGTGTGGGGCTGCAAGAGGTGGAATAGGGTTACATGTATGGAGTGGTTGTAGGGTCATGTGGGACCATTTTAGGATTGCATGGGGGTAATGCAGGGGTTGCATTGGTTCCTGTGAGGCTTTATGGAGTTGGTGGGGTTTTGTGGGATCATGTGAGAGCTTTAGGGGTTCTGTGGGGTGATAAGTCAGTTGAGTCTCGAGTGACCACATGAGATCACATAGAGTAGCATGGGATTATTGTGGAGTCGTGTGGGATTACGTAGTATCATGCTGGGATTGTTTGGGGTGGCACAGGGTCACATGAGGTCATGTAAACATACAGGGTGGCGTGTTGCCTTGGGCTTTGCGGAGCATGCAGGGTATGAGATTGCACAGGGCAGGTGGTATGAGTAGCTGGATCATGTGGAGTGGATATGGGGTTGTGTGAGGTCATCAAGGGCTATGTGTGCTCATTTAGGCCAGAATGGGGTCCCCTGGGCCACGTGGAGTGAGACTGCTTGTCATTGGCACAGCTGTGCCCTGGGTAGGGTGTGGGGACTTTAAACTGTATGATGGTTCTGCCCCAGGTGTTGACACCAGCTTGCATAGCCAGAACTGGCGTCCTGCAAGGGGGCCTTCTCCATCTTCTTTGTTTTCAATCTTGCTTCTTTGGATATTTCATTTAGTAGAAATAATTTCTTATTCTTTGTTTTTCTTGAACAATCCCAAGAGGATGCTCCCAATTATCTCATTTGCAAATTAACCCAGCCAGAAACAAAACAAGAAGACTCTACCAGCTTGAAAGGGAACACTTGTTGGTCATTAACTAAGGTCCAGCCCTGCTAATCACTGATGTGAGATAAGCAGCCCCTGCTGGCTTCCCTCTCCCAGTTCCTGCAGCATTGGGGTGGCAGCATCTGTTCTTCCTACGTGGGTTTTTGGGGCACTAAGCCATCTTGGGATTCAAGAAAGAGACTCTGGTAAGGCATACACCCTACGACTGACCCATTGTCTCCTGGGTGCTGGGGAGGTGGATGGCGACTGTTTCATCAAAGCTCATTTCTGCGTGGTTTTTGGAAGAATACAGATGAAGAAAGGGAGCGGCGGTGTCTCTCAGTCCCACCTCCACAGTGAGGGGCGTCTGCTGTCCCCACCACATTTGGGGGGGCAACATGGGTATTTCCTTGTCGGTCTGAAACTAATTCACTTGTGGCTGTGGTGCTGCTTGGTGAGGTGCGTTCTACACTGTTCTGGGTTGTGCTTGGCAACCTTCTGTCATGATTTTTAAGCCCACACTTAGGCACGCCACGTATCCATCTCACCTTTCCTACATCCCTGCAAGGCCTGAGCCATGATGAAAGTTCAGAGCTTGGAAAAGGAGCAAGAAGCACAGTGGGAAGGGCTATCCTCCACCACGCCAGGGATCAAGCTTTCCAGAAAAGATAGAATTAAGGAAGGTGGGTCTGACAAAGTTTTAAAAAAAGGGGCTTACCTGGGTGGGTCCACATGCTTATAAGGGATTCTGAGAGAGAGGGAGAGAGGCAGCTCCCTCGGTTCCCGCTGGGAGCTGAGCAGCCTGGCCATGTCTTGGGACAGTGAGTCCTTTGGAGGAGGAGGTTGGTGGCAGGAGAGGCTGGGGAGGGGTCGGCCTTTCTTTGGAGATACTTGTGAGTTGAAAGGTAGTTCTCACCTGGTGTGGGTGGTGGAGACTTAGAAAGTAGACTCAAAACACCAAACCAGACCAACAAGCTACTGTTGAGGAGCTGGGAGTCCTAGGAGGCACCCATGATGGTATAGTGTTTGGTTTTGTTTTTCTGTTCAGAAGTATGGAGAACCTGGGAGCTGGGCTGCTCTGAGGAGCCCCAGAGCAGGTGGGCCCCAGTGGCCAGAAACTTGTATTTTGCTCACTTTTCTGCATGGAGTGAACTGTTTGAACTGAATCACAGACAGTAGTAAGTTCAACTCAGATGCACTCTGGTGGAGGAAGAAGCAAATCTAAAATTGGGGACTGGGGAGCTTCCGGAGGTTACAAGGGAAATACAAATGTGGTATAGAAGTGCCCAGCTCTGGGTGGTCAGGTTCATCTCACAGGGAATTTTCTCACATTTTGCTTTTGGATATCTCTTAGTATTTGTGAGTCTGGGTTCTACCCCAGATACATGACGGGGTCCCTGAGGGATCTGGCCCTGCTCCAGCTGGTACTGGCAGCTAGGCTCATGTGGTGAACCCCGCAAGAACAGTATGGGCTGCCTTGCTTTTGTGGTGTTTTAGGCTGTATGGGTGAAAAGCCTGAGTTGGGGGCACTGTGTGATTTGGGAGAGCAGACTGAGGCTGCTTTCCTTCTCTTACACTGCATGTGTTTGCCCAGCACCCCAAAGGGGCCAGAGGCGCAAGAGGACCACGTTCAACAAAAGTCAATTCAAGATCCTCAGTGAGGCCTACGAAAGGGACTGTTACCCCGACTTTCCCACCATACAAGAGCTGGCCAAATTAACCCAGGTTCCTGAGCCACGGATTCAGGTAAAGTCTTATCAGCCTTGGAAGGAGGGAGGGAATGGCGGGGAGACCAGTGGGATCAGAGCCTGTTTTAAGGCCTGCTTAGGAACCTCTTGGAGTTAATCCTCTCAACACCCCGGTGAGGGGAGCATTATCCCATTCTTGGGCTGGGAAATAAGGATTATAGTGGGTTAGTCACTTAAGTTCCTACTCTAGCCAGGGATAGAATCTAAATTGGCGTATTTGGGTGATTTCTGTCAAATATTTACTACATTAGAAATTAAAACTGAGAAATTTAAAAGCATTCACTAAGTCATTTAGAAATAGCCATACTAAACCCATCACATGTTAACAGGTTAATTAAATAACCTGTTTTTCTAGAAAAGCAATTATATTCTCAGATTTAGTAAGAGGAATGGCTGTTACACAGGAGGCTGGATTCCTACATCCCCTTTACCTTCCATCTGTCCATACAGCTCTGGGGTGTCACAGAGCTTGGGGATGGGATGGGGTGGGGTGGGGTGAGGTGAGGTGAGGGGGAAATGTTGAGTTTTAACTCTCAGAGGTCTCCAAAAGTGCCTGGTCCCAGACCTTTTGTTCCTTTGGGTCTCAGCCTTGGGGGATTGTTCTGATGCCCTGGAGGGCTGGGTCCCACCTCTTCTAGGCCTGCTGAGATGAACTGCTATAGCCTGGGGATAGAGGATTTTATGCTGTCAAAGTTAAGAACCTGAGTATAGAAGCTGAACAGCAGCAAGATGTCTAAAAAGCTCCCCAGGGATTCTAATGGGTAGCCAGGGTGGAATTCTCTACACTGGGCCAGCAGTTTTCATCCCTAGACTATCAGGTCCATCCCAGGGCATCTGGTTCGGAAGGTTTGGTTGTGTACCCAGATGTGTAAGCTGCCAGGCGACTCCAGCACACCTGGTGCCGCCACATACCTCCTCTGGCCCGGCCCCCATCAGTTCAGCTTAGGTGCTTGATGTCTTCCCCAGCCGGTTCTCAGGTGAAGGTGAGCGGGGTCTGTCACCCACAGGGCCCCTCTACTCTGGGGCCCTCTCCTACCATGTCCTACAATCAGACTTGGTGTGGAATTAGTTTCCACTAAGGGGTTGCTTTGTGTCTTAGAAGTATTGTTTTTTTTTTTTTTTTTAAAAAAAAAAACAAAAAACCTATGTAGCCTTAGAGATTATTAACCAAATCACAATCCAGAGAAGAGCTGCATTAACAAAAGCGCCTGGTACCTAAAAGAGAAACCTGGCTGGGCGAGCTCCTTCCTAGCTTTGGAAGTATAACCGGAACTCAGTTTTCCCCAATTTCCATCTTTCCTACAGGCCCAGCCCCAATCTGAAGTCAGTGATATTTGATTTGGAGGGAACCACAGAGACTCTAAATGGCCACTTATCTATGGGCCTGGGGCACCTAAGCTCTGGGGGCAGGCAGGCAGCCTGTCTGGGTAGAGAACTTACCAGTAACTTTTCCTTGGAGGCCCCAGGCTAGGTATGACTTGATGGCCATTTGCAGCCCAAAGAAATTATGGTTCAGGGGGTACCAGGGTTCAGAGGTTAGGGGTCTGACCTCTGGGAGGGAACCCTGAAGGCATCCTTGATGGGGTGGGAGCACCTGGGAGAAGTGGCTTTTTAAGCCCAGGAGGCCTGGCAAAGTCTGATGGCTGAAGCGCTGGTCTGCACAAAGGTCCTGGGGCAGCCCACACCCAATGCTCAGGTCTGGGCACCTAGCCCACTCTCAATACTACATATTTGATTTCTTGTTATCAATACTTGTTGGAAAATAGAGGGGCACTGGATTCAGACCTGTCAGGGCCTTTGCAAATGCTAACCAGATCTTTAGCAAGCAAACATTGCCAGTTCCCTAGGCCTAATAGCCTACTTGGGGCTTTTGAAGATTTCTGAAGGCATTGAGCATGCTTTGATTTACTCCTCCATCCCTCAGATGGGCTGAGGAGGGCTGAGACCATTTATGCTCTTGTCTCAGCCGCTCACCAGGCTATGCACAGGCCTGGGGTCTGTTCATTTTACAAGTGGAAGTTTGTAGCCCTTGGCAACATCTATGCTATTTCCCCCACCCCTGTGTGGGGACAGCCTTATTTGAAAGTTTATGTGGATGGGGCCCTCCTGGTGGCGCAGCAGGTTAAAGCACTGCACTGAGAGGCTTAGGCCACTTCCGCATGAGTTCGATTCCCGCCTGCCCCGGAGGTGACCACATGGCGTGGCAGACCTCTCCTGACCCGCCCGCTGCTCCCCTCAGCAGTGTACTTCGTCGATCTGCCTGTTCTGCTCCCTACTCTGTCTCTGGTGAATCTTCTCACCCTCCGCCTCTCTGGCCTGTACCCTAGATCTGTATGAATAAATGAATAAATCTTAAAAAAAAAAAAAAGTTTATGTGGATGATCAAGGATCAACTGGTTGGTGAGGCAGAGGAGGGGCAGGAATGGAAGCCCTGATAAGGGCTTGAGTGCTTGGGTTTGAGTGCTTGGGCGTGGTCATCCACAAGTGGGTGTAGGTGGGTTTGGGGAGACAGGCCTGCAAGGTGGTTTGGGCCACACAGCGATCAGGGTGATCCGGCCTACACAAGGACTTGGCTTTTGTTCTAAACTGGGAAGCAGTTTGATAGTCGTTTAATGACAGGTCATATGCTATTTGATGATGGTAATTACAGGCCTGGGCTTAACTGGAAAATGCCTTTTTCCTGCTTTCCCTTCTCTTTCCCCACCCTTGCCCCTGCAGCTCTGGTTTCAGAATAGGAGAGCTCGAAAACGAAAGCTAGCGCAGAAGCCCAGTGTGGAAGACAACTCGGTGGGTCTGCAAGCCTGTGCCCACAGGTGCCCTTGCCAGCAGGGCCTTCAGGGAGCTTGGAGTGATGCCAGCCAGCTCTTCTCGACATCAGAAGCCAACTCTGGTCAAGCTGACCGGTTGGTCCTTGCTGGTGTTCTGACTGTGAAAGTGGTCAAAGTGGGACCACCAGCCCTGGAGGCGCAAGGGGCGTCTCCTACCTCGCTTTCCATCTCTCAAAAGTGCAGTGAGCCAGGCCCTGCAGAGACGGGGTGGCAGCTCCCCCCCCACTCTGAACCCCTAAGTGGCGCCCCAACAGCTGCTGACCTAGACCAGTCACCACTGGCCTCTCCACCCTAGGGGGAAGGCCAGTGCATCCCCCTTCCCAGACAAGGTCGTGATGGGAGGCCCCAGGGTACCCCCAGCTGTGGGGACCCCACCTGGTAAAGTGGAAATGACGTAGGTGTGCATTGATAGGAGACAGACTGAGCTGTGGTTCGTTTGTAATGTTCAGTCCAATGCAAAGTTTAAGACTAGGAAATTTTGTACTTGACCATGGAGAGGCCTTCCAGACATACTTCTTAGGGAATGAAGTTGTCGAAACAGATGGACATAAAACTGATGGGGGAAAGGGGAGGGACATGGATGGGGTGGCAGGCAGCGAGGACCAAAGGGTTTTCCTGAGATGGGAGAAGACTTTGAAACCTACTAGTCCTGCCTTTTATCGACTGCATGGGAAACTTTACAGTGTTCTCTAAACTCTTAGAAGGGGCTGGGGGTGGGTGGGGCTGCCTGTGGATATGTATTTACCAATAAAGCAGGAGATTCTGACTGCACGCTTCCCGTTCCTCTCCATGTGAGCCTCTGGCATCCTGGGGCCAGCCCCTAGGTGCCTCTGCTCACCTCTCTGAGTTCAGGGATGGTCAGCTCATTCCTGCTTCAGGCAGTTCCTGAAAATAAGCCCTCTCCCAACTCTCTGCAGGGCCTACAGCAGGCCCCCAGGTGAAATGAAGGGAGCATTTCTTCTCTAGCCAGGCCCCTCCAGCATCCTTCTCTTGGCCCCCCACCACCCTCCAATGCTGACAGAGAGGGGAAGAACACTCCAGCAGAGGTGATTTACTTAGCCAGGAGGTGGCATCCCTCATGGTTGGGGAGCCCCTGAGGACCCCTCTAGGTCGCTGGGAAGACCGTATCATTAGGGTAACAGGAGCAAAACTAGCTTTACCTGATTTACAAATAAGAATGTGGTGAGTCAGAGATGCCCACTGGGAATTTAAATTGCCCTGGGTGGTCCCAAGTTAGGAGAAAGCAGGAGCTGAGCACAGGCTGATGTGTGGGAATACATCCTGCTTGTTGCTGTTTCTGTGAAGGGCTGACCGACACTTAAAAATCTGGGCCCTGTGGACTGTCACTCCTGGTGTGCCCAGGCTCACCTGCTTCCCCCATCTGTCAGGTGAGTCCTGGGGGCGGAGGTCATTTTGAAACTACAATCAGTGTAAGTAGTGGCAAAAAAAAAAAAGTGTTTGGTTCTGAGTCAGCCTGTACATTCGTTCTTTGGATCACGATATTGCCTGGCAAACATATATTTGAAACCTTGTTCAGGAGGACCAAGATGTTAGGGGGTGGGATCATCACCCATTATTCGATACTGAGGTAAGAGGGAAGGGCCGCCTCAGGTTCCGGGTGCTTCCTCACGGTGTACACCCTGAAATCCCGCAGCCGCCGATAGGCTCTGGTCTCATCTGCACTGAGAACGTGAAACAGGCCCAGCTATGCAACGAGCAAGGTGCAACCAGAAAAGGGAGCAGGTGTCGGAATGTGTTGGGTGTGCGATGTGTATGTTCGCATGTTGGGGTGTCTGTGTTTGGGGGGGTGTGGATGTGTAGTATGTATCCCAGAGGGAATGTGGGTCATCAGAAAGAACTTAAGTAATAAAGCCACAAATGATAAGCCAGATTGTTTCATGAAAATAATTTTTACATGCATTTACTGGCATTTCCCACGCAATATACTGTTAAGTGTCAAAGAGAAAATGTATCATGTCTGAAAAAAATTGGATAGAGATTCAGGGGGAGGTCAGGAGGAGCAATGACAGGCCACACGGGAACTGTGTCGTCGCCCGTCAGACAGCTCATGTGACTTGGAGTGACTAGAGAGAGCCTGGGAGGTGTAACATAGGCAAGAGGGACACTTCATGTCAATCTCTGAGAGGTGGAATGGGTTCAGGTGTTCTGGAGACAAGCAGGGCTGTAGAGGTAGGGAGACCCTTTGGAAATTGGTTCAGACTGGTCCTTTCCCCGCGTTATCTGCATACCAGGCTGCAGGTGCGGGAGTCTGGAGGTGCTGGTTGCTCTGTGGCCTGTCCTTCAGCCCACTGCTAATTCAGGACCTGCTAACTCACTCACAACCTGCTTCCCTTCCAAGCCCGCTCAGGCCTTACCACCCAGGTCCCTTTAAATAAGAAAAGACACATACGTGGGAAATCAGAAATCATCTAATCAAGAGGCTATCACTTGAAAGTCTAATTTGAATTGACTCACATTCTAAGGAGGAAGGAAATTGTTAATATTCACCAGCTTTCTTTTGTTTTAGTCCAGCTCCTGTTAGAAACACTGCCTGTCAGGTAAAGAAAGAACTTTTGTACATTTCTCTCCATTTCTTTATTTTTTTATTTTAAAGATTGATTTATTTATGGTTACGGAACTGGGGTACAGGCCAGAGGTGTGGTGGGTGAGAAGATTCACCAGAGACAAAGTGGGGAGCAGAACAGGCAAATCTACTGAAATACACTGCTGAGAGGAACAGCTGGAGAGGTCTGCCTCGCCATGTGGGTCAGCTTCCTGGCTGGGGGATCGAATTTGTGCTGCAGTGGCTTCAGAGAGCTTCATAGTGTGGTGCTTTAACCCATTGCGCCACCAGGGCATCTCTCTCCATTTCTAAGGGAGAATGCAAATGGTCTATGAGACTTAACAAATGGGAGGGGCAGGTAGAAGGCGGGAGGGAGGGGTCCTGTCTTTCAGGATCTCTTCACCCGTCCCTTGCTGTCCCCAAATCCTGGAATCAGGTCTAGCGCTGTTGGGCACTTTGCATGCAGCATTGTTAAAATGATACCCAGGGTGGTCCTGGGGTCACCTGATGGACACTTCCACCCCCTTCCCTAGCTTGCTGTCTAGGTCAGTCCTTGGGACAAGGATTTGCTGTGGGATTTGCCTGTAGGGGGTTTTTAGGGTCCTCCAGAGTTCCCCCTGCAAGGGAGTCAAGGCTGAGTGGAGGACCCAAGCAAAGGGGCAGGTGCTGTAGAGGTTCAGCTGACCCCTGTGAGCACTGAGCTGGTGTGATCCTTCAGAACTGCTCCACTTTGTACCCACTTCCCACCGCCTGCCCACAGAGAGGGGCATTTCCTGCGATGGCTCTTCTCTGAGCCAGCAGAAGGCAGTGCTCCTGGCCGCTGGGGACCTCTGCCTGGAAGGGACCCGGTTTGTCCCTGTAATGCCAGGCCAACACTGGCTTTGTCTGAAAGCTGCTGCTGCTGTTTTTAGTCTCGGTAGGTCACGGTCATCTTTGCAGCCTCATCTCCTTTACTTATCTGTTTACTACCCAACCACTGACACCTACATGATAGGACTAACTAGGTGTCCCATGGAAGTCAAAACCCCATGGGAGAATGGGCGCATGAGTTTGCACATGGGATGAATGTGTCCTGGAGGTGGAAGAGTGACTGGTCTTCCACCACGGGATGACCACACCCGGAATCTCAGCTACTGTGCTGTCTGCACCTCTCTGCTGGTTGCCCTCCAAAGCATTGCTGGTGCATCCCAGGAAGAAGGGGACCCTCTCAGCCCACCTGCACTCACCTTTGGAAGTGATCCACTTAGAATGGAGGGAGGGACTTGCTAATTCCACTTGTATCCAGCTTCTCTTGAAAATTGTATTCATATTTAATATCTAGTTATTTTGACCTTGCTAGGATGAATGATAACATTCAGAACCCTGTTTATTTATTTTAAGATTTATTTATTTGTGCATACAGAACTGGGGTACAGGCCAGAGGTGCAAGGTGGTAAGAGGATTCATCAGAGACAGAGGTGGGGGGGGCGGGTGGAACAGAAGAGGCAGATCAATTTACACTGCTGAGGGGAGCAGCAGGTGAGACAGAAGTCTGCTGTGGCAAGTGGAGCAGGGGACCCAGCTCACATTGAAGTGCTGTGGTAGCTTCTCAGTGCTGAGCTTTAACCCTTTGTGCTACCAGGGAGGGCTCCAGAAGCCTGTTTAAATGAGGTTTGGATGGTAGAGAGTGAGTGCCTGCTGCTGTGCAAATCAGCTAGCTATAGGAACCAACAAGTTTATACCTTCCACAGCAAGTAATGCTCTCTCCCCCTTGGTGGAACTGACTGGGGGGTCCTGTAGAGGTTACTTGGGGAATTGTTAATCTTGGATTTGGGCATGTGCCCATGGATCTCACCATGAACACATTCTTCAATCTTTTCTGTTATTTTTTTTTTCAAATAAACCCTATTCATGGCTGGCATAAATGGCTGTTGTCACTCCCATTTAAAGCCATAATGTCATCTTTTGAGGACTGTTTCTAAGAGTATTAACTCCTAGAGCAGCCATAGTGAAGCAGCATATACCGGCCGGCTTCAGAAACAGAAACCTGCCCACTCCTGGGGGCAGCACACTTGCGTGGTCATCACTGTTTGTGTTTGTGTCCTAATCTCAGGGACAGCTGGAGTGGATTAGGGCCTCCCTACTAACCTCCTTTACCTTAATTAGCTCTTTAGAGACCATCATTTAATGCGTTCGCATCATTTAATGCGTACTAAGGGTTAGGATTTCACCAGTGAATTTGAAGTATCATTCATTGTATTCTGCGCCATCCACTCTGCTAGGACGCACACTCCCAAATCATCCCTTTTGAACTTTAGAATCTGTGTCCAGAATGTTCCTTTAAAAGACTGGCATCCAAGAATAAACAAAACAAAACAGAAAACAAAAGACTGGCATCCTTTCCCTTAGGGTTAGTTTGAATTTTGTAAGAGCTAAAGTTTAAGCCAGTGTTTAGAATAGCTCAGTGGTCCCCAAACTCCAGAGACATCAGAGTCATCCAGGATTGTGAAAATGCAGATCACTGGACTCGGTGCCCTGAGTTCCTGACTCAGCAGGCTGGCTGGGAATGTTCATTTCTGACAAGCTCCCTGGTGATGTCACACAATGTTGCTCAAAAGCTAGTCCAGATTCTTCCCACTAGGTGGCACAGTGTGCACCGCTGGTAAGGTGATCTGGTGTGTGTTCCTGGGCGCTGTGTGGTGTGAAGGAACGTGGCTGTGCACAGCTTAGCCCAGGTAGATGATCTCACCCTTCTAAGAGGACATTTTCCTTAAGTTGTATGAGCCAACTTTAACTGTGGCATTTCAGACCTCAAAAGCAATAGAATTTTAAATGAAACAAACTGGTAATGAATAA